GGTTATCATGTAAAAAAACAAATTCCATGACTTCTTTCCAACTGTTTGTCCATCAATCCTAAAAGAAAAACCTCTGGTTTCAATTGTATATCAGTCTTTAAAACCCTCTGGAATAAGTGTATGTATTTGAATCCACAGTTTTCCAGCTTTTTTAGACATCCACCAAACATGATAAAATGTCCCTTCTTCTTGTTCACATTTCCAACATAAATTTGAAGTGCCTTTATACATTCTAGACAATTTCTCTGGTGACATATACCAACAGTACATCATTTTATAAAAATTCTCAGCTTTTCATCTATTCCTGAATTGAATTTAACATTTCCTTCAAGGAGAAATCATTCTAACTCCTCTAATCTGTGATGCATTGTAATTAATTCATTTGGCTACAATTACATTTTCCTTAAGACCTTCCCTGTCAACATGACAATGGGAACCAGCATGGTAGTATGTATATTTCTCTCTCATCTACATTTTTTTTCTGTGTGAAGATTACTTCCATGTAAGAAATTACTGTATGAGGCAGCTGTCAATTTACATATATTATGCTGGACAAATGCTTATACACGTGTTGGTACATTGGTCCTTGCCATGAAGGTCCATTTTCCACACTGAATGGAGGATTTCATTCCTAGAATTGTTCCTTCCCATTTGCAGGAATAATTTTAGTGAATACATCCATAGAAAGAAGCAATCCTTCTTTAGTTTCAAACTACAAAAACAATAGGATCTTTATTTCAGATTTTTAAAAAAAAACCTGCAAGGCACCTAAAACCAAAACTGATACACAGAAGAGGGCAAGATAACCAAGTGGTTTCTCTACAAATATCTGCAAAAGGAACTATGGTGAACCACACTGCCAATGTGGTTGTGTTCTTAATAACATGAGCCACATGCCCATTTGGAAAAATAGTCTCTTGAGATTTCTCAGCCACCTAGAAAGGATGTCTGACAAAACTATATAACCAAAGCTTGACTACAAAAACAAAATGAACAGAAAATCTGACCTCCAGGACTCTAATCAGGTAGAACTTCAATGTATGTCAGAGATTCTTATCTAACTCCTTTTCCACTCTCAAAGATGGTTTAAAAAATATGTCAGTTCCTGATTCATATGGAAAATGGAATTGATTTTGGAACCAAAAGGACACCACTGGATCCAGATTGAAGTTAGATAACTCCTCATGTGCTGAACAAGTTGCCACTGCCAGCTTCCATGCTCTTCTGGCTCAGATAATAGCCACAAAAAAGTCTGTCTTCTAAGAGAGGAGCTTGCGGGATATCCACTGAGGATTCACATGGAGGTTTAAAGTAAAATAATGTGAAGCTAAACAGGACAAAAACAGTGATTGGGTAAAATCACCGAGGACAGTATTAATAACAGATCTCTGACATCTGTGGGATCCAAAACCCTTGTCCAATCCTGACCGTAGAAAACCCAGCATCTGTGGCCCTGAAGCACTTGCAGGCTGAAAACAATTTCTCTTTCTTATTTTATATATGCAGTGAGTGGACCGACTTTAGGAAGCAAGAGACTGAGATTACCTTTTCTTCATAACTTGACATGGTAAGCTGCGACCAATTTGGATCCAAATCTTGAAAAGAACCCTTTGAAAAAATGTTCAGAGATACAGAAAGAACCAGCAGTGAACTGACTGACAATTGGTTCAGATCTAAAAACTAGGGCCTATAAAATCAGTATTATGTACAACAGATCTGTATACCATCAGGAAATTAAAATATCTGCTGTCTCCATGTCTTCAGGGGGAATACAAAAATAAAGTGTCAACATTTTATTGAAGAGAAAGCCAAACGGATAACTGGCATGCCAAAATGTTTGACAAAAAACATCCTCTGTTGAAGGCAGTTTTTTTCCTATCTCCAAGTTTATTCAACTCAGCCTGTCGTCAGGCCTTGAGTGGGTTTGACTGGCAAAAAGAGAGGGTGACATTGGCTCAGGCTGGAAGGCTGCTTACTTCTTACATGGAAGAATAAGATTTTGACCTATTTTGAAGCATCACTGTTACTGCAAGTCATCTGATTGTCTGTCAGGATGAGAATGTGCTGATTCTGCAGAGATTCTGGAAAGGACTAGTGCCAGTTTGACCACTCATTTGAACTCCCAGGAAGACAAGAGACTCTGAGTCATCCTGTTACTGCAATGCACTTTCCAGATCCTGAAGCTCCTTCCATCTGTTGCCGCTAGAACATAAGAATACCAGTTTGTTTTGCTTTTCTTGAGTACTGGCAAGAGTTTCCAGAGAAGAAACTGTTTGACATTTGGAGAAATTTCTGAACAAGATATGGTTAGTATGCTAGTATCCACTGCAGATCTTGATAGTGAAACCTGGTCCAAGAAACCATATCAGTGCTGATTATCAATCCCTGGAATTTGGCCATGACATCAAATAATTTGGATAGCAACACTGACATGAACACATACTGAACAGTACACCACCTACTGGTATACAAATCATGCCTTTTTGGGGGGAGGGGGGAATTTAAATGGACCCCAGATGTAGAAAATGGTAGGATGCTATCTCCTAACATTTCTTTAGGTTGACCAAAAATATGACCTTCGACAGACCCTTCCCAATTAGAGAAGAAGATTGTATTAATATAAGAGAATATGTGTAGCTCAGGATTGAACTGTGGAGTCCTTGGGTAACGTTTCATTACCCAATGAAACGTTCAGTGCCCTGAAGATGTTACCTAGCCAGGTAATGAAAGGTTTGCAAGAAAACAACCAAGCTCAGAGAACCCCAAGGACTCCACCAAAGATTGTATTAACAAGTTGTCCCGATATGAACTCATTGGGTCTCTTGGAGAAGGTGGAAGATTGAGAGGGAGGACTGGGTGTTGCAAGTGAGCCACCTGACAATAAACTCTGAGAAACTTCCTATGGTAATTAGTGTGGAACATGCAGGTATTCTCACAGATTCAAGGAAGTAGATTTAGGACTCCATGCAGAACTTGCAGCAGCAAACAACCAATTTACCTATTTCAGATACAGAACTTCCCTCCAGTAATTCTTCTTTTAACTATAAAGAATGTTGAGTAAGAGCCAAACAACACATCTTCAGACAGCATCAGATCAAATGTTGATATTTTATAACTTTCAGCACCAAACCATTCTTCTATGAGTAGCATGGCCTGAGAGCTGATACAAAATAATCATGAGGTATTTGCACATAATCTATTATGCACCCCTGAGAACACATCTATTATCTGACTCTAAAGTATCTACAGTATAACTGGCCACCCACAGAAATAATTTATAATCATTTAATGCTTCTACCTCCTTTGTGAAATTAGCTATGGAAAGATTTGGCCTGAGGCTGATGCCTTGGCTGACTCATCCCAAAATGATCCTGTTCTCTTGAGATTTGGGAACAGGCTCAACAGCTAAACAGATACAAGAGAAGAAGCCTCTGAGGCATTTGAAATCTCTTTCAGGACAATTGGGAAAGCCTTTTCCTTGTCTTTGGTTTCCACATAAATTTCCTCAAAAGTGTATGCTAGAATAACTTGCCTTGTTGAATGACTTCACAGGTACTACAGCTTTAAACTTGGAATCAATTTTCTATTATTTTGGCCAGAAGTAATTTGTGACAGCATGAGATGGCGGGGAGGGGATCACTCTCATTGGCTAAGTTTTCTTTCACCCTTTTCTGAGGATAAAGGTGACTACAAGGTCTCAGAGCAGCCTGGAAGTGGGGAGACTGCCAAAGACATCATCAGCAAAGAAATCAATCTGGAAAGGGCTCTCCTCTAGCCCTACTGTCACATGGGACCTGACAAGGAAATTGAGATCAATGAAAATATCCCCTGCATGACCACATTTCTAATGGTTTTTACCTTGGTCCTTATTAGCCAAGATTATGTTTTCAGCCCTTGTGTTTTCTCCAGTTACCAAAGCCAGTGGCAATGAAGGGAGCAAGGAAATGAAGGCAGCAGGGAAAATCCCATGGCTGAGGGAACTCCCCCTATTACTGTAAAGGGAGCTGCAAAGAGCATAAATCAAGCTCAGATAGCCTTATTCATTTAATTCAACTGCAAAATCTGTGGTAGTGAATGTCTGTCCAAATAAGGCTGTCTCCTCACTAATGGCCGAGTTCCCTGAAATAGCATGTGGAAGGAAGGTGCACACAAGGGATGAGCTACAACTTCCTTTAGTGATGTCTGCTGGTCCTGATGCTTTACTCCCACAGAAAAGGAGGGGGAGTCACCCATATGGATGGACCTTCCTCTTGGGGCCTATAATGCACAAGTCTCAGAGGCCCTGCTGGAGTGTTCTTCTGAGGCATCAAAGAATCAAGATGGATTAACCTCCCTTCGTTCTGCTCTCTCGTCTGGATGACCTACATACTAAACAATGGAGCTGCTATTCTTAGTTTGCCCACCAGAGTTAGGCAAGAGAGGAACAGAAGGGGGGCTTCCTTATCCCATAGATACATTGGCTGAAATTGTTCTTGTTTACCAGATTACATGGGAAGAGCAACTCCAAGGATACCCTTCTCCACTGTGGGAAAACAGAATTAGGTCTGCACATACTCATTTACAAGCATAAAAATAGTATTGCTTTTGTGATTAACAGGATATTCTCACTTTAAAAAGTAAAACATAATTCTCTTTTGCCAAAAAATCTAAATGGAACAATGCATTAGAGTGAAAAGACATTTCTCTGCTCTATCCACTCCTATTCAGTGTCAGAAACACTCTAAGTGTGCATATTTAAATTGTGTACATACTAATTTTAGCTAATCTTTTCTTAAAATATATAAATCTTAAAAGGATTGATCCTTCCATAGTAGAAAAACCATGCTGACATAAACAGATCATTCCAACAGGAGTCGAAAAATGATCATCTAAATGTGAAAACAATTTAACTAATATCTGAATCTCAGTATGAGCAAGAAACAACTTAAAGACACTGAGATATCTTCAGAATTAACTCCTGAGAGAAAGCAACAGAATTTAGGAAGTATTTTTATTTTTAATTAAATAAGCTTGGAAATACCATATAAACAGAATTTTTGAAATTTGTTCTTGCAGCTTTTATCTTTCAATATACAGTAATGTGAAAAAGAAAGTACACCCTCTTTGAGTTCTATGGTTTTACGTATCAGGACACAATAAAAATCATCTGGTCCTTAGCAGTTCTCAAAAGTAGGTAAATACAACTTCAGATGAACCACACATGCCATATTACACAATGTCATCATTTATTTTACAAAACGAACTATTTTTGTATTTATTTTACAAAAAGAACCCTAACTATTTCAATAATAGTTTTTATAAATATATAACCTAATAGATTATCTTGGCTTTGTAAAAGTGTTTCAAATTCTGCCATCTTTTTCAAAGTCCCTCCTTTCTTGAGGTCACTTTTTATTCTTCCAGCAATCAACCATGGTGAATGCCTACCTTCATTGAACAGTTCTTGCTGTGACTTTAGTCTGTTTTCTGAGTCTGAGTGTACTGTATTAGCATATGTGATTAAATCTTTCTTACTGTAGTTGTTCGTGAAATAAAAGGCATTTGACAGTGATGCTGATGCTGAAATCTTATCCTTGTTTTTAGAAGATTCCATATTTTTAACAAACTTTGTCTTATAATATTCTTCTCTTTTGTTTCTTCATACCATAGATATCTATGAAATCTATTGGCTAAGCTAGCTCCTTCTATAATTGATATTCTGCTGTTCAGGAATTTTATCCATTCATGATAAACTGCTCACTTGATAATATAAACTTAAATTAGGAAATTCAAGTCCACTTCTTTCGAGTCTTGCAAAATTTTGAATCTTACTTATTAAGTACCTTAATATTAAATCCCATGATATGCTGAACTGGAAGTATAATGTAAAATATGGTTTCCAAATCAATTGAGCTCAATTTTATTTTAAATAATTTTCTCTTTGGAAACAATTTACTGAAATGGTATTTAATACCTGCAGCAAGAATAAAAATGTCAAGTGAAGTGAAATGTGCTGTTAGAGTTTTATTCTAAAAAGACTTACATGGAAGAAAGATAACATGTGGAACAGTTAAAATTAATCAGAAAGCCAGCAATATAAATTAAAACTGACACCTCTTAGCTTCCCAAATATTCAATATAGTCCTCAAGATTGAAACAGTGATGAGTCCTCTTCCCAAATGTCCAAATACATCTAAGTAATAAACTTAAAAAATAACTTCAAAATAGCCCAAAGGGTAAGCTGATCATATTGTGTATAGTTATGTTTTCCTTTAGAGTCAGACATAATCCACTCTACACTCCTTAAGCAAACTCTAGTTCAGCTGGCAGAACAAGAGAACATCTCGTTTTTCATGTTCACATGGATCTTTAGTTTCTCTGAAGAACAAATGAAGACACTTTTTTTCCTAAATCTAACATCTGTTCTTGTTGGAAATCCAAAATAATTTGTAACCAATGACAAAATACTACAAAGTGAAACCTTTTCCACCAAAAGGCCAAAGAAAGGAACAGTTCAAGTAATTGCACTGCTTCCTCTGTAGAGAAATGTATATTAACAATTTTGACAAAGTTTGGAATTGGTGTAGATTTTTGCAAAAAGTTAAGGAAGCAATGGATTAGCTCTCTGTTTTTGCCAACTGCACTATTCAGAAAAATGTCTACGCTGTACTCTAGTGAATCATTTTCCACACATGTACTCTTATGTAGCAAAAGAATGTACTGAAGCACTTAAAATGTATAAGATTCAATTTACAATAAAACTGCTAAGCTCTATACCAATGATCCCACCATGAAATATAGTTGGGACCTGCATTTTTTACTGAAAGTGGCAAGAACATACAGGATTATACAGACAGATTTATCTATGTCTTATAATTCTAGACAACATCAAAAGTCAAAATATTTTGATGCTACCACTAAAAGATTTGTGGTCAACTGACTTTAAAGTCATATCAAATATAGTTATTTTCAATATAGTGTGTCCTTTGGGTTCAAAGGCAAAAGGGTGTTTGGGAGTACAAACAGAATCTATCTGCAGTTCATTAATATATATTTTCCCCAGGAATTTCATGGCAGTTGTAGTGTGTAGCTGTATTATCTCAGGAAAAGGCACGTCTGCTTTAGGGAGTTGCAAAGGAGAGCTGCATTCACTCCCCCACACACACTGGAACAGCTTTTTGCCTTTAAAACCAATTTATAGTATTACCTTTATAATGTTATAGTTAATATATTAAATGTTTAGAATGCATACTGCCAATTAGGTATCTGATCTTTTAACATGACAATTTGAAAAATTATATATTGAAATCCATTGCTTTACTGCATTTAAATTATCCTGCTTACATTAAAATATTGCCCACATCCTCAAAAGGAATCCAGATTATTTCTCTCTTCTATTGTATGTCACAATTCCCACCCTTATTGGGATCTTCTCCCTCAAGTCTAATCCATTTCTTCTCAATTTCAACCTGTAGTATGAAAGCAAAAGAAGTGAGATTAAGAAATACTTACATTATTAGTGGCATTCCTATTTAATAACCTTTTTATTGAAATAAAATATAAATAGAATATTAACAGAACATCGGGGAAAAACATACAGAATAAAAGGGAAACATGTTGTCATGATACTGACTTAAAGCCATCATCCCATCTCATTAAAAATATAAATAGCTGATATAGATATTTGGCTGTTCCATTTTTTCAACAATTCCCCCTCTGGCACACCTCCAGCCTTCTTGCTCTGCTCTCTGGTGATTGCCCTCAAATCTGTCTGGGTGCATGGGATGACTGGTGTAATCACTTCCTCACATTTGCTGTTGTGTTGGGGCAATCTGGAAAGAGCATCTGCCAGGAAATTCTTTCCCCCAGGAATGTACTTTAGGGAGAAATTAAACCGGTGGAAATACTGAGCCCATCTCATTTGCTTTGGGGACAATTTCCCTGGGGCCATCAAGGCTTCCAAGTTCTTGTGATCAGTCCAAATTTCAAAGGGATGGGGGCAATCCCTCCAAGAGATACCTCCAGCAAACTAGCTCCCAGCGCACCACAATGCCTCCTTCTCCCAAACTAACCACCACCTCTCCGTTTCTGAGAACTTCTGTGAAATATAGGCACATGGGTATAACTCCCCAGATTCTGATTTTTACAGCAGCACAGCCCTCACTGCTACATCTGAAGCATCTGCCTGAATGACAAACGGCTTGTCTGGGTCAGGATGTTTCAGAATAGGCTCCGCCATGAACAAGCTTTTCAACTTCTCAAACGTTTCCTGACATTCCTTCGACCATGCTAGCAGAGCCCCAGGCTTTGAGGCTTTCGCTTTATCCTTGCCCTTAGTCTTTAGTAGATCAGTAAGTGGGAGTGCCACCTGCGCGAAGTTCGGAATTAATTGGCAGTAAAAATTAGCAAAGCCCAAGAAACTTTGAAGCTGCCACCACGTCTTGGAAACCTCCCAACCAATCACATCCCTCACTTTTCTTGGGTTCATCTCAATCCCCTTATGCGATATCTGGTAACCCAAATAATCTGTTCCTTATGGAAATCACATTGCAAACAGCTGAGCATCCAACAGCTTCCACAACATTTTCCTCACTAATTTCACATGCTCATCCATATTTTCAGTATAAATCAGTATGTCATCCAGATATATCAAGACCCCCCCCCCCATACAAGTCCTCTTGTAAAACCTCATTGATGAGTTGCATAAACATCCCCGAGGCTCCCTTCAATCCAAACGGCATGACTTTGGGTCAGAAACAACCAAGGGGGCAATTAAATGCCGTCTTCCACTCATCTCCTTCTTGGATTCGCACCCAGAAATAAGCGTCCCGTAAGTCCAGCTTAGTAAAAAATTTTCCCTTTCGACAAGTGAGCTAATAAGTCTTTCATTAGCGGCAACGGATACCTATTATCTTGGCAAATGGCATTTAACCCTCGGTAATCCGTGCAGAGTCTTAAGGAACCATCTTTCTTTTCCCTAAACAGCGCCAGTGCCGCTATCTGGGAGTGAGTGGGCTCAATAAATCCCCTCTGCAGGTTTTTATTGATAAACTCCTGCAGGACTTCCAGTTCCTTAGAAGTCATAAAATACATCTTCTTTCTTGGGAATTTAGCCCCAGGTTCGATCTCTATGGCGATGGGGGGGGGGGTAGTTGGTCTGACTCCTTTTCACTAAACACCGCTTTCATATCTCAATATTGCTCCGGAATCAAATTCAGACTCCCATCCGCCGCTTCTACACTCGCCGCAGCCACCTCTCTCTCTGATGTCTTCTCGGCAATCCCCTCACTTCCGCACCATCCCCGTTCAGAAACCGTAAAGTCTCCTTGTCCCAATCCATCTCAGGGTTCCTCCTTTTCAGCCAATTCATCCCCAAGATGGGCCATGGGTTGGTGGCCATGGGAGTCACCAGGAATTTTATAGTTTCTCAGTGAGTCCCCATCCTCAGCTCAAGTTTTTCCGTACAGAACTCCACGGGACCCCCTCCCCCACTGGGGACCTGTCCAGCTGAGAGGATATTACTGGAGTTTTGAGTCTCTTTACTCTCAGTCCCAGCCCGCGGAAAATCACAGGATTTATTAGACAACGGGAACATCCTGAGTCTATGAGAGCCCGCAAGTCCATTCTATGGTTTGTCCTCAACACCCTCAACTTCACCCAGACACTCACACCCATTTCTTCACTCTCTGACTCCTCTCTGGATTGACCTTCATGCTCTGGAAGTGATGCCTGCTTCCGGGTAGGTAGTGAAGCTGGTGTTTTTAGTTTCCCGCCAATGAGTTGAGCTCCGGGGGTTCCTGACTCCACCTCCACACTGGCAGCTGCAGTCTCCTTCTTCCCCAATTTCTGAGGCTTTGCTAGCTTCCACTCCGCCTTCCTCCCTCCAGCATCCAATTTCACTTGAGGACAAGCAGCCGCGAAATGACCCGGCTCTCCACACTTGAAGCACAACCAGCAACTACGGTTACCCTCTGGGGCACTCACTTTAGGTTTGATCCCAACCTCCTTGGCTCCCAGCACACCTGGCAATAAACAGGTTCTCGCTTCCACAGTCCATCACTGCTCTTCCACCTCTCCTGCCATAGCGATCTATCTGTTAAGGGTCTTTGGATAGCCCCGACACATCACAAGCTGCAATAGCTCAGGTTGGAAGAACTTGATGAGGAGTCCCTCTGGGATGTCTGGGAGCTTCTGAGCTAGACCCCTGAACTCAAATGTGAACTTGGACACCTCCCTGGATCCTTGCCTGAGCCATTCCAGATCCCTGCATGCCTTCAGGGCAACACATGGATCTTCAAAACATGTGCGCAGGGTATCCACAAAATCATCCAACTTTGGCAGCACCTGATCTTTTGCACGATGCATTCCGACGACCCACTCCACCGCCGTGCCCTTAAGGTAATTTGACACGTAAGTAACCTTCTCAGCTTTGCTATGAAACAGATTCCCATATCCTTTTGTGTAGATTCCCACCTGGGTGAGAAAACAGGCCAGTTGCTTGGCATCTCCGGCAAATCTCATGGAGATCCCCCTTTACTGCATTGGGCTCTTCTTCACCCATCTGGGTGAGTAGTCCTCATCGTCTTCACTGGACATCTCCCCTTTGGCTGATCTCTCACCCGCCTCTGACAATCCAGGTGTTACCACCGGTTCCCTGGCTGAGGGCGTGAGGCCACCCCCCAGTACTCGATCCAACATGACTCTCATAGCCCGCACATCATCTGTTAGCGCAGCCATCTGAGTCTCCATTTTTCCCATGTGGTCCTTCAACGAGGGACCCCACTCTTTCGCTCCCATCCCTTTTGCCGCTGCTCTGGTCGCCCACGATGACTCCACCGGCGCCTCCCACTGGATGACCTTAGCTTCCAATGGCACTCCCGAGGGACCGGGAGCCTCTTCCATCTCCTCGATTACATTGTCTGCCATCTTGTTGCTCAGTTGCTGCTGGTCAACGCAATGTATTGGGCTTCCTTCAGGGCAGGTTTCTCCCCAGTAGAAGTCCTCACGGCAGTCTTAGCAAAATGTAACAATCTGCAACTCCCAACTCCAGTAACTCTCCTTGCAACCAGTCATGGTTCAAAAGAAAGTTCATTTATTGAGAACAAGTGTACAGTTCCAAAGCATTGCTAAGACTGAGCCTGCGCGCACCAAAAGTTGCTTTTATCTTTTTTCCTCCTTTCCACCTGCACCCCCCTAACCTTCCATTCTTTTCACACTCGCTCATTGGTACGACCTTGAGCATTCCTCAGTCCATGATAACAGTCCATCTGCCTCTAACGGTCAGTTCACCCATCCATCGTTCCAGAGCCTTCCAGCCCCCGCCCCATGTCTCTTAATGGCAGAACCGAAGCAAGCAAGCAAGCTGGCCATTAGCATGGTTAATTAATTGCGAGGATTCTGACAGGTATCCAATGTAACACTAGCAGAAATTTGCATGGTCAACTCTAGCTGTTTTACCACAATCAACAGAAGCAATACTTAGGATAAAAATGTCATAATGAGCTGTGAAAGCATTCACAGAACAGCATTATTGAATCTGAAACTTACACAAAAATAAAAAGGGGGTTTTCTGAGCAGTAGAAGCTTCATGTTAGTTGAATGAGCCCACTGACACAATCCTTTGTGCCAATAATGTACACAGAACAAGTGTCTTGAGGCTTTTTCAGAAGAATAAACATGTTTGCTTGCTATAACCCTTTAGTAATTTAAAAATATGTGCCTGATCATGCCAGCTGGCTGTTTCCTGCTGCTCTGTATGAATCTCCAATGGTTACCGCTGGCTTGTTTAATGCATATTGTCTTGTCTTGCTCATGACTTCTACCCTCAGTAAGCAGAGAGGCAAGCCTTAAATCATGACTTGTTTTAGATTTGTTTGTTCTGGCTGGCACAAAAAAAGTTGTTGGCAGGTCATATGATAAGCCAATTGCTCTGGTAGATGATATGGAAAGCTTTAAACTAGAGGCAGCTACTGGAAAGAAATGTGCAGCTCGAGAAATAAGGCAGTTGGTACAACTGGATGCATTGACAACTAGAGCTACACTTGCCACGTTATCCAAACACAGTCATTATGCTAGTGCTGTATAAGGTTCCACAGAGTAGAAATTACATTATCAGATGCATGCCTTAGCAAAAAAACCATAAACATGAAATAAAGTTAAATGTAATAGTAGTAATTGTAGTAATTGGCATTGGATTAAGCAGAAACAGAAATACAACATTACCTGGCAATTATAAAATGCTTTCTGAATCACATGTTTCTGAGGCTGTACATCCCTCTCAACACCCCATGATTTCACTTCGGTTCCTGAGGCGCATGCGTCAGACACAACAAACTGCACCACGGCAAAAGGGTACCAATCAGAAGGGATATCTTGATCTGAGCCAAGTTCTAATTTGAAAGACAAACTGTGCAGATGATCTGGATCTTGGAAAGAAGGAGGACAAAATGTTATAGCAAAGCTTTACAAAGACAATGTATTGTCGAAGGCTTTACAAAGACAGCTGGCTGAGAGAACAATCAAGCCAGTTAAGTTTTTGGAAGGACTGGGTAGGGCAATTCTATGGGAGAGGTAAGTAGTTGGACAGGAAACAACAACTATGTAGGACCACGAAAGAGGACCCCACAAGAATATTTGCTCCAAGGCTTAAAATCTGGTGTGTACAGTTTTTTAGCCAGACACAATGTAACATAAGCAGATAGAATTGAAGTTTGTTGATCAATCATAATAAACATAGAAGAGCCCAGCATACCAAATACTTGATATCAAAGTATCAATTCTGGCAATACAGTATATTCAATATACTCCCCATCCATCTCCTGTTCAAAAACAGTTGAAAAAATCAGTTGGAAAATATTTTTGCTGCATTTCCACTTCAAGAAACAGAATTACTTCTTGCCATCTGACATTAAAGTTTGTATTAATTTTTGGATATATTTGAAGACATAAATGTAGTTATCACCTGGTAAGATTTCAAATTTATATGGCTATCTCAACTGCAAAGAAAAATACAATTTCTATTATTGTTATTCTATTCTATGCATATTTTTGTTTTCAAGGCTAATACATATTTAGGCATTGCATTTAGAAAATATAATTGTAATCATCTATGGAGAGAAGTGTACTTGGATCAAACCCCCTAAAATATAAATGCAATAAAAGATTTCCCCAAAGGACAAATTCCAACATAACTCCAGGGCCCTCTAACAAGAAATGTATGAAGCAAGTTTAAATAGTATCACTTTACTTGTCAATCAAAGTTGGCTTGGGTAGCCATTATAGTCTTCACACAAAGACATTTATAAAATATAAGAGGTTGTAATTTGGCAAGAAGTTTTATATTTTGCATAGCTGAATAGAATAGTTCATAACATGGAGTTAAACAAGCAGAAGTCATTGTATACATTCAAAATACAGTCCTGCTTACACTAAAATTGTACCGACCGTATGTTGCCATACTGACTAGAAGTAATGGAAGTATGCTAGCCAGAATGAAAAAGGCATGGTCTTGCACTATGGCTTGTATTTCAATCACTTGATCACTAATTCTGCTACTAATATCCTATTTCTGCCATATTAATAAACTACTGAAATAATTCAATTCTCTTTCAGCATTTATATAAAATAATGTTATATAAATCAAATATTTACTTGAGTTTTTATCTGGTAGTCTGTCAATCTTCCACACAATGGCTCGATAAGCACTTTCATACTTGGCTGTTCCAACTGAGACATGAATAATGGAGTCAGATTCAACCTCATTTAAAGAGCCAAGACAAGTTCTTCTGTTCATTTTTGCTTTCAGGGATTTCTGTCTTTGGAGGTTCATAGTCCAAAGAGTTTTGTTCCACTGTGAGGGAACAGGAAAGTGAACCATTATATTTTCACAGTGTTTTGTAGGGTATGAATATGCTGAAGCCAAAGCAGATGGAAACATGCTTATGAAAGCTTGCAGTTCAACATAAGCTCCTTGAACAACTAACAAGGCTTTGACAGAAAATGGAAGATCCAGTCCATTATGCTGTGTCCTATAGCGCATTAGTTCTATTCTACAGCCATCTGGTGGTATAAATTTAATTATTCTTGAGTGCTCAAATTCTTGTTTTTTCACACATTGATGAAAGTGATAGTCATGAATTTCAATCCATTTTTTCTTACTGCCTGACTCAAAATAACGCTGATCTCTCTTTTGAAGCTCCAAGTCATTTAGTGTCATAAAGCACTCAGAATTACCATTCAAAAAGTTTAAGGAATATATATGAGTGATGACAGCACTTTCAATTAACTTCTCTTCTGCTTTGCTAATTCTCCCCCAAAAGTTGTCCACTATTTCCAGGATCATTTCTTGTTCTTCATAATGTCTCTTTGGTTTTGAAATAGCAGGAAGCTTCATCAACTCTTCCTCGACTATCATTAGGAAGTCAGTGAAGTCACTGTAATCAGTCGTCCCTAGTTTCAGCATCTGTTCTACCTCTGCTTCATGAACCACTTCAGTTTTAGGGTGATACTTCTTTTTCTCTGTGTATGACACATGTTCAATTTTCACAGTATGGATTTTCCCAGAGATGTTGCAGTTCTCTAACTTTGGTTCTGAAAGTCTGCAAAATGGTTGCAGGTGGAATACTTTGAAAGGTTTTTCAAGACCTTTTTCATAATACATTTGTAGGATTCCTCCAGTTAAGACTTTAAGATAAATAGGACCCCACTGCCTTGATGACATCATATTTTTCTTTTCAGGAATCCTCAACATGAAAGGCCAACCATCTTTTCTCTGGCTGCTAAAGAGACTGCATGGAATAAATGAAGAAAAGCCATCTCTAGTGCACATACATGGAACTGGTGTCAAAGTTCTTTCAGTGTTTGAAGTTCCAGTTTTCAAGTGTTCAAGTCTCTCACATATATAATTGAATGAACCCTGGTTTAGGCTTTTCTGATCTGGCCAGCTTTTCTTCCCTTTAAAAGAACAATCTCTTTCAAAATCTGGCTCTTTTTTGTGCCCATGAAAGCTGGACAAAGACACAGCAGATGAATCTTCTGACCAAAATGGATTAGAGAAAGCAGAGTCAGTTGAAACATTCTGAAAAAAGGTTTGTGAATCGAAGGAATTTTCCAGTTTCTTTGAGTTTTCTTGATGCATAGCATGTGCACCATCTGTTGGTTTTAGAACAGAAACTTCTGAACTGTGCACAGGCTGAGATATTCCAATTAATTTTTGAGAAGATGGTTCAATTAGTGGGAGATTAACGTTGGATGACAACTCTGGTATAGAACTAAGAAAATGAGTTCCTGATTTGGGAAAGCAAGGACTGACAGGATAGTCTTTGGTGGGTGTACAGAGTGGAGAGTTACTGGGGGGCCGAGGGCTATAGTAATAGTCACTTATAGGAGATGAGAGAGAAGTATTGCTGGAGGAAGATAATTGGCTTGAAAAATCTTGCACTTTAGGCAGAGCGAGTTTAAGCCCATTTGGTCTGCAAGAATTAACATTTTCTCTTGACTTCTGAGGGGACTGGGATTCATCTTCAAAAGTAACCCAGTCTGCAGTATTTGCAGTAAACATCTTGTTGTAGCAATCTGGAAAAACTGAGCAAAAGTCTCATTTGTAATTCATCTGTTTAAAACAAAGAAAACATGAAATAAGAAAAACTGTTTTAGTCTTAGAAATACATATCTACAGAGTAAGTTTAGATCGGTTTAAACCATCAAGCAGCCCAGAAAATTGTCTTATGAAGAAATGTTCAAAAAGCATTCATAGAACTACAGCTTCCAGAGTTCTGTTTGAAATGTATATCATATCAACAGTAAAATAATTAAGTCCATCACCAAAAAAAGTGGCACATTCCAAGCTGCTTTAATTGCTACTTAAAGAAAAGGGAATTCAGAATATATGAATACAAATATTGAATGACCTACTCCATTAAATTTGGTTGTCAACCTGATACCCATGAAACACTCCTTGGTGCCTGGCAGATTCCATTCCTATCTTTTTTAAAATACTATTTTAATTTAAAATAAACATATAAAGGAATGCATCAAGGTATAAAACAAAGAACAAGAACCAAGCAAAATCTTCATTTCCAAGGATGCTCCACAAGCATTCTCTTGATTCTCAAGAGAATTAAATGGCAACCCAGGACTTTTTGGGAACTGTGCAAACTAGTAGACATTGGCCTCTCATTTTTGTTTCCTACTATATTTTGGTGAAGTGGGGCAATAACAAAATGGAAAAGCTAAAAGAAGTTGTATCCTCAGCAATTTTGCTTTTCCCCATTAATTTTGCAGTAAGTTTTAAGAAAACATCAGGTTTAAGAAATGCCATCCTTCTTTTTAATTATACCATTATGCATGCCTTTTAACTAGGACCAGATTTTGGATGCCTTCCCTAAATATAAATTCTTCTTCCTGAGTCTTTTTGGAATATTCATATATAATACCCTTAGTTAATTGGATGCTATGGGTTCAAAATATATTACATATCTCCTGTCACTATCACATATGTTCAAAAATTTCTGCATTTTGATCCTTCTTCTCATACCATATAGATGCTATGGGGTAATCCAAATCTTAAAAATTGATTTTAAAAATGTTATGTGGAAGATTTGGATGAATGCTGGGATTTTTTATTTAGAGCAATTATTGGGTGATAAGGAGTTTCTATGATATACTATCTTAAAGGATAAATACTGCTTGACTGTTGCCACCCATTGACAGTCTTACAACTGCAACATTTATTGACATCTTTATTTCAATCAGTGGAATTTTCAGCTTCAGAGATATGTAAACTATTAGAAGTGAATGCTTAATGCCACAAGACAAAAAAATCCACATTTTGTTTTTAAAAATACCCGTTATCAATAAATTAATTTGATATGTGATTACTAAAGATGGAGTAGAAAAAGGAACTGGAGATCCCCATTTTGTCTAAACTCTCTTAAAAATTAGTATTTTGAGACAGTTAACAATGTTAAATATCAGTTCTTTCAACAAATCTTAGATTGTGGCTTATTCAAAAGGAACAAAATCAGACTTACTATATCCCATGGCATTTGATTAGAAAAGGAATCAGTAAATCATAATGATTTTGGAGATGGAGAGAGAACAATGCTGCATTAAAAGATACGTTTTTCAAATGTCCTAAAGTTATTACATTCTGGGAAAAAGTAATTACATATATTAATTTGACTTTAAAATAACAGTATTTCTGGATGTTCTTTTTTTTTTTTTTAACCTTCATACCTATTGCATGAAAACTGAGAACTGGACAACAGAATTGGCTTCTTGCAGCCTTTCTTATGCTAAGAGATTAGTCCTTCAAGAATTTATGACCCAATTATTCCAAGGATTGAAGATCTGATGTTACTTGTCACTTATGAACAAGTTGCTTATAGACATGGATTATGTATAAACTATTACAATGCAATATGGTCATCCTTTATTGAAACTGTTGGGTAAAATTTTATATACACATATAAATTTCTTAGAAGACTTTATAAAAAGAAAAAAATAATTATCCTCTTTATATTGGAATGTTGCCTCAAGAAGGAAGGCAGGCATGTAACAGTGACACAGTGCTCGGTTATAAGAATGAAACAATGAAAATACAGTAATATTCTACTTAGATGTAAATTAGCATGGCTCTGTTAGAATTACCAACAGAGGTCAATATGTGTAGCTCAGGGTTGAACTGTGGAGTCCTTGGGGTTCTCTGAGCTT